ACGCTCTTCAACCTGCTGTGCTCCGGCCGTTCGAAGCAAGGTTTCAGGGTGCTGTGAATGGTTTCTGCATCGGTGCTGGGTCTCCCTTCTTTTCACTCATTCAAAGAATAAAGCATGACGAAGTATCCTAGCGTGACGGAGCTTGGGACGCGGCTCGGGTCACCGGAATGTCGTCATCTGTTCAGTCCGTCTTACTTGCCTACGTCGGGAGAGCTGCGGCCTCCTGTCCGGTCTTGTGCACCTTCTGCGTGTGAGCGATCGTGCCTTCCTGTGTGTGGAGCACTTTGCTCAGAGCTGCCTTGCGTGCTTTATCGTAGCCAGCAGAGAGCACCCTGTGGCAGGACTGCCCCGTGTTCCCGTCCGAGGTTAAGCTGCTCTGCACATACAGATGACTGAGAACCCAAAGACTGGACTGTATCAGGTGGCCATGGGGCAGAAGCTGCTTAATAATTTAGGTTAATAAAACCACATTTAAAAATTTCACCTGGGAAACTTGCTATAAAGATAAGAAAAATGAATTTCCATTAATTTATCTGTTATATAGTCAGATATCAGACTTTCAAAACGGGAGGGTATATTTAATGTTAAAGAAAAACTAATGGAAAAGAAATGTCATAGTTGTTTAAATGAGTAAATATTTTTGTGCTAGAAATGGTCATATTTATTGCTTATTTGGGCCAAGCTGTTGAATAGCGTTGACCTTAAATTTCCCTGAGCAGGGAGCATTGTTGAGTGGGCGGAGGTTATTTCCAGACTCCCTCCCGGCAGGACCTACTCGGGGTTTGTCATGCTCCGATGCTGCTGGTCACCTGTCAGCGGGGCTCCGCTGGATGGGGGTCTAGCTGCCCGACTGCTTCTTCCTCTGCCCCAGAGTCTCAGTCCTGTCTCCTTCCTTCCTTCAAGCGTCTGATCTGTTTGGGTCCTGGAGGTCTCGATGGCCTTGCAGAGCAGGGCAGAGGCCTGGGGCCTCCGTGTGGGACTCAAGGTAGGGCCCAAGGGGAACACAGACCTCCGGGCAAGCAAACCCAAAGCCGGGAGAGGAGTAACAGGGAGCAGAGGAAGGGGAGGGACAGAGGGCCGCCCAAGGGTGCAGGAACGGGATGAGTCTCTCATGCAGGGGCTCCGAGGGCAGCCTGTGTGAGTTGTGAGGGTGTGCTCGGGCACCTGGTGGTGTTTGCGGCTTCCTTTTAGGAGCCTTTGCAGTGTGGTGTCGGATGGTCTGTGGTAAAGGGTGTGGACACAGGATAGATCAGAGAAAGTGATCTGTGTGGGTGGTTTCTGGGGCTTTCACTGTGCTGTCCCTGTGCAATGCAGTTCCATCTTAACAATGACCTTTTGAAGGCGCAGGATTGAACTTTCTAATTTTTTAATTTAATTTTATTTTTTTAAATTTTTTGCAAAGGAGTGCATGCATTTGCCAGAGAGAGATAAAGAGACAAAGAGAGGGAAAGTAAGACCCCTCGGGGGGCAGCCACACCAGTCTCTTTTGCATTTTCCTTGGGATTGGGGGCATGCACTCACACCTGTGCCACTGTGATATTCAGCCATGAGTCTGGGACTCAGACCATGATTGGCCATGTGGGAATCCAGCACCTTAACCATTATGCCACCTGTTCACCCAGTGCAGGATTGACTTTAAGGGTAGACATTTTGGGTAGTATATGGCAGACTCTTGTGAGTCACATTTGAAGGGAGGTGGCACTTTAATCACTTCTCAAATAATACTGTTGTAAAAAACTGCCAACTGACCGTGGGGTTCTGTCTAGCGTACAGTGTGTGTGGTGAAGCTTACTTTGGGTAGGTTTATAGTGTTCTTCATTCTTGGCAGCTGGGCACAGGACATTCTGAACATTTCTATATATGCAGGAGGACCCCCACAGTAATGAGAAAGCGCTTCAGTTCCTGCAGCCCTCCTCCTCCTGATTTCTGGATCTAATTAGGGCTAGTCCTTGGCACAACTCTGCTGTATTCTAGCTCTCCAGTAAGAGGCACGGTTACGTTTTCAGTGTTCAAAGCCACGTTAAGCTTGAACTCTTGCTTTGTATAGGTAGCAGGAAGAGACAAATGAAAAGGATGAATCTTAAAAAGTCATCTTTGGGACCAGCAGATGGCGTAATGGCTGTGTCACTGGACTCCCATGTAATTGACCATGGTTCGAGTCCTGGACTTTAAACTCATGCCGGATGCGGGTGCGTGCATGCCCAAGAGCCCAAGAGTAGAATAGAGGAGAAGGTATTGCGGTGTGGCCATCCCCCCGGGGGTGGTTTCTCGCTTTCTGTCTCTCTGTCTGTCTCTGTCTTTCTGGCGAGCTCATGCACCCTATAGCAAAAAAATTGCCCCCCCCAACAAAACAAAACAAAACAAAGGTCATCTTCGTTGCCAATAAGACATTTTTCAAAAATTAACTAAAATGTAAACAGCTGGGCC